AAAATATTTTTATATTTAATTACAAAACTGACTGTTGTAACTAACAGAAAAGCACTTGTTGTGTGTTTGTACAGGGCATTTAGAAAATGGATCACTCGGTTCTGTTAAAGCCTTATTTTCACCTGTGTAGAGAAATAGATGTTGTATATCCCTGATTAAATTATTGTGCTTCTCCTTCGAATACCAAGCTTACCATATTGCAATAAACTAGACTGCAGTTAATATTAAGCGGTGATGCCATTCACGCCATTGTCATTATGATGACTGTAATTTAAATATAAACCACAAGAGGAGCCATGACAGTCCATTAAGTAAATAATCTGTGCTTTAAAAATGATCTGAACACATCCAGAGTCTTCCCTTCTAACATGGATGGTAGAAGTGGAGGCACAACTGCAAATTCTTTCACACCAGGGAGTACCAGGTGATGATTTTAAGTCCCACTTGGGGGGAAAAAAAATCACATATTCTAAGTGGAGCCAGACTGCTGGCACGTACAGCTGGCAAGGTTTGGGGGGATTAGTTAAAGTAGGAGCTGAAGGAAATCCTACAGGTATCAAGAATGAGTCAGGCTGGACAAAGACAGCTGCTAGGGTTGCCGCTAATACAAAGATATATCTTTATCCAGTAAAGGATAGAAGGGCAATTACAGCCAAACTGGAGAAGGGACAAGCCGAGATTACAGAGGTACATTTCAGAAAAGTACCAGAGTGAGAGACTAAGGAATGTAGTAAAAATAAGTGCACAGGCAGAAATAGAAACTAGAAATGTCTCCATACCAATGTGAGAAGCTTGCAGAAAAAATAAGAGAGTATGGGTACATCTACACAAAAGGGCTAAAGTAGAATTAAACAATGCAAACTGAGCTATGTCAATTGTGTCGCTTAAGTCGAAATAGCTTAATTCAGCTTTTGGCGCCATCTACACAGCAGGAAGTCAAAGGAAGGACACACTTCCTTTGACTTCCTTTACTCCTCATAAAATGAGGGTTGCAGGAGTCGGAGTAAGTCCTCCAGCTCAACATTATTTCAAAATAAAGGCTGGCAGTGTAGACACGCACTATGTTATTTCAGAATAACATCAGTTATTCTGAAATAGTGCTGCTGTGTAGACATGCTCTTAGAATACGACTTTGAAATAACAGGACTTGCTGAAACATGGTGAAATATCAGCAACCGGTGGAGAACTGCCATACCTGCATATAAAATCCAGAGGTGGGCAATAATTTTCAGAGGGGGACCACCCCATAAATTTTGGTAAGGAAACACTGGTTGCACATTTCTACTATATTAATGGAGGAAGTACAGGGTTTGGGAGGGAATTTGCATGCAGGAAGGCACTCCAAATTTTGGGATGCAGAACAGGGTGAAGGGTGTTGGGTCTGGAAGGGAAACATGGGTGTTTGAGGGGGTTCTGACCTTATTCAGAGGGCTGGGGTGTGGGAGAAGGTGTGAGGTGCAAGATCTGGCTGGCAGGTGCTTACCATTGGCAGTTCCTAGTCGGCAGTGCAGCAAAGGGGCTTAGGCAGGCTGGCTCCATGCCACTGCCAGAAGTAGCCAGTTGCTGCTGGCAAGTCTCTACATGCCCCTATGGGGAAGATGGGGAGCAGGTCTCCATGTACTGCCTTCACTTGCAAGCACCGTCCCCACAGCTCCCATTGGCCAGTTTCCAACCAATGGGGACTGTGAGGATGGTGCCAGGGGCAAGGAAAGCAAGCAGAGCTGCCTCCACACCTGCCAGGGGCACACTGAGACAGGCCAGCAGCAGCCAGCCACTTCCAGAAACAGCATGGAATGACGGCAGGCAGGCAGGCAAGCTTCTTGAGCACCCCATAGGTCAGAAATGTTAGGTGGACCCTGCCTACGGGTCTTATTTTGCCCACCTCTGGTATAAACTATTCAGGATGTAGAGAAGGGAGAGGCTCACTATGAGTTAAGATTTCTGAGGGGAGAGGTCCACAGAGTAGAATGTGCAGTGACAACCCCCAAATTAGAAGGATACAAATATGTTGGTAGGGTTCTATTTCTGTCCTCCAGACCAGGAAAAGGATATTAGGTACATCATGTATGGGGCGATTAGAGAGGCAACTAAGCCTAATAAAACAGTAATAATAGACCACTTCAACGACCCACACAAGTTGAGCAAAAGTCATAGAACGAAAAGCATGGAGAACCCAGTTCTCAACACCTTGAACGGTTGCTTCTTGGGACTGCTATTTCTAGAAGACACCAGAGGAGAAGCTGTTCTCGGCTGCACCCTAAATCTCACACAGGAGCGTTTTCAAGAAGTAGCTATAGTTGACCCAGTCAGTAATAGTGACTACAGTACAATTCAGTTCAGCAGCCTAGGGGGAGGAATTGTATCAAAAACTAGCATAATGACACCTGACTTTGGAAAGCAAGATTTAAAAAGAGGCAGGTCAAAAATGTCCTCAATCAAAATTAAAAACCTTATACTCAGTTTGGAGGATACTTATGCTCATAGACTCACAGATGGTATGGATTCCCCCAAAACAAAGAAAGAAAAGAGGAGGACACAAAAATAAAAAGTATAATTAAATGGTAAGTTTGAAGACAAATGGGAAATCAAAACTTGGTTGAAAGGACTACAGTATATAATGTGAGATGGAAATCAAGAGGGCTCAAAGGGAATGTGAAGAGGAAATAGCCATAGGTATAAAAACAAATTTGCTCCATCTGCCAGAAGCAGAAAACCTGGGATAATGGTCAGGATCTCTGGACCATCATGGAGCAATTAACAACTGTAAGGACACTGTCAAGAATTTAATGTCTTTTTTGCATCAGTCTTCCCCACAAAGGATATCTGTGCAGATACCTATCCCAAAGATTCTCTCTTTCCAGGAAACATCATAGACTTAGAGGTAAAAAAGACAAGAAACTGCACAAAAAAATCTATAAATTAAAGAGCATTAAGTCACCAGGTCTAGATGGCATTCATCTGAGCGTTCCGAAGGACTTTAACAAATTAAGTAACCAAGCTGCTTACATTAAATATACATTCTCTCGTTAGAATCAGCTACTGTAGCAGAGGAGTGGAGGTCAGCACATGTACTTTTTAAAATGATGCTGGGGAGAATCCTGGGAATTAAATAGCAGTCAGTCAGCCTCACTTCAGTACCAGGGAACTTGATGGAAATTATAATACAAAATAGAATCAGACACACCTTGATGAATAGGATTCAAATAAACAAGCCCAACTTCTATAAAGAAAACCCATGACTAATCTATTAGAAGAGTTTGAGCTGCTCATCTTTACACCAGCCAATATATCTGAGCCTAAACCAAAGGTATCATAATTTGCTGTCACTATGGGCCAGCAACAAATTACTACTTGTCCCCATCCCCCTACCAACACCAGAAGCGGGAGCAGGGACAGAACTGGCTAAGGATGCCAATGGCGTGACACAACAATGCACTTCCCCTTATTATGGGTTGTGTCCTTATGGTACAGTCTAAACCTTAACTAGCACTGCAGGAGAATGGCGTTCCTCCTGCCCCAGGCATCATTGTGAAAGAAAGAAGAAATTAACATCCAGCACTTTACTAGTGCTATAAAATGGCTTTAGCTATACAGAAGGACCTGCTAGGAATTTAGAGAAGGTAAATGAGCACTTCACACTTAATCTACACTAGAAAATTAGGTGAGTTTAACTAGGTTGGTCAAGCATGTGAATTATCCACACCCCTGAGTGGCATTGTTAAGCTGACCTAAGTTCCTATATACACAGTACTCAGCTAACAGAAGAATTCTTCCATTCACCTAGCTACTGCCTCTCAGGGAGGTGGATTACCCCTAAGACGATGGAAGAACACCACCTGTGGCCTACCCCACAGCATTTTAAGTGTAAACATACCCTTAGGAACAGATTCTGCCACCCTTGTTCATGTTCAATAATCATTGGGACAATTTGTGGAGTATTGCACTACTCGGCGTGAGAAAGGATGGCAGACTGACAGTGGTTTTCTTAATATGCCTTTGCCAGGGCGTAGTGTTTATTTCATTTTTGCTTAGCTCCTCACAGGTTTTTAGGTGAGCCATTAGGTAAAGGAGAAAAGCAATTTGGAAACGTAGGCAGTAATAGGGTCTTACATTTTCTCCTATGAGTGTTGGCAGGGTAACAACTACATCCAGCTTCCCTCCCAGTCTTATTTCTTGTCTCAGAGCAGTTGCTTTTTAATTTTGCTGTTCTTTTCTTAAATGTATGAATGATTAAGCAGCATTTGCACTGTAAACACCTGGCTAAGTTGCACTGAAGTCGCTGTAAATAAACCCCTCAAAAAGTGAGAAAGAAAACCGAGATGTAGCAGGGTAAGGTGGGGAGGATGATCCAATGCCTGGAAAATAGAGTAAAATAATGAGCACTGTCTAGAATGATAGTGGTGTCTCTAAGTACAGTTCTGTGTGGTCTGGAGGAGGAAGAGGGACATGCATCTCACTTTAGTCATTTCTGCTTTCTCCAGTTACACTGCCAGCAAATAGTAATAGCCCAGCTAGGGGTAGTGCATTAAACTTCATCTCCTCATCCCATGTAAACACAACATTAATACTGAAGAATAAAGGAAATGGTAAAGAGTCCAGTGTCTTGTTTTGTGGGTGTGTTTTGCATGTTAGGTTTCTTGTCCACTCTCCACAATAGCGCTATGCACACTGAGGTGGTGAACTGGACCGTGTCCCCCCTCCTCACATTCAAGCAAACACTCACATTCAAATTCCAAAGCATTCTTTTATCCCCCTCAAATGGGGAGTTTATGCCTCAGAGTTCTGCTCCTTTTATTATCAACTCCTTTAACGAAGTGGTTTTGAGAGCTTGCAGCAGGCAGCTCAACAGCATTGAGCCCACCCAGCTCTAGTTGCCATGCTTATATTTCCCTATTCAGGGAAGAGGTTCATATAAAGCCCAAAGCCTTCACAGGTGGGTGTGCACTGAATCGGGTCAATATCCCCCAGCAGAAAATACATCTCATGATAAAATCCAATTCTTGCCTTTAAAATAGTAACCAAGCTACAACTTGGCCATTTATTTCACGGGACACATGTGAATGAATTGCTCTGGTGAAAACAGGCCTTACACGGGCAGATTCCGTCACATTCTGGTAGAGGTACCATTTTACCGGCCTGCTAGAAGTGGGATGGACAAAGTGGAGTGAAGGCCAAAATATCCTTTTGAAAGGAAAGGAATGGATTTTATGGCTGGGGGCAGGGAAGGTTTGCAGATCAAACAGAATTAACTTGAGGATCAATGACTAACTGATGCATGGATATGCCTCAGCTTGTAGCACACCTTCTCTAGAGTAGGATATGGTGTATGCTTCCCCTTCATTTTCAAGGCTATTTCAAACCTTTGCTTGCCCTTCAAGAGGGGCAATGTGAAAGTTCACAGGTGAAAGTTCCCTTTTTAGATCAATGTGGGCTTAAAATTCACAGGACAGTGACCCGAAGATCTTCCTTTACAGATAAAAAGCACGTGGAATTATTAAATAGCAACATTAAATCCTATTTGCTGGAGATCTGTCCTTATTCAACTGTTTGTGAAGGGAAAACATTCCCGTTCCATCTCCATTCTGCACCGTTTGTGATATGATGGGCACATGGCTGGCCTCTCTTATTCACACCTTGCGAATGCTAAAGCTGAAAATCTGACAGGCTGGGGTGGAAGGGATGTGGCTAATGCGCACAGTCTGAAGACATGTCGCTTCAAATCTCTACTGTTAGAACTGTTGGGTATGATATAAAAACAAAAAGTGTCTCAGTTCCAAGTTAAAAGACTGGGCCCCTAATGTTAAGTGGCTCCTTCCTTGAGTGTCTGTTTCACGTAAACAGGCTCCATTGTGCTAGCTGTTGTTCTCTGCCGTGAGATATTTGAGGGCTGCAAATCCATAGCGGCGTGACATATCCTGTTGGAACTCCTCCTTCAAGGTCTTCAGACAGATGCGGTATTGCTTGTTGGAACGGAATTTGGTGATGTCGAAGCTGGGAGCATGTGGCATATGGATCATATAGGCATTGGGCAGCACTATGAATTCATACTCCTGGAAAAGGAAGATACCAGCAGTCAGAGGCAGTTTTTATACACATATACACAGGATTTGCTAAACCAACCTCCTTTCTTTTTTTACGTGGATTACTACACCTGTGAAAGACCTTGGTTTACTACGCATGTGAAATGGAAATGTCCTACCTTCCATTTCAAAAACTGTTTACATACTAGTAAGCCAAAGTATCAGAGGATCCGTGCTCAAGCGATGTCTGAGGCCAGATCTATCCCACAAACTTTTGCCAGCCTAGATATGTTGGTAAGAAGTCAGTAGAGGTGTGATTTGTAACTAACAGAGCTGTGCCCCTTGCACAGATGCAGGTACGCTGGCAAGATTTCGCTAGTATAAGCTATGTTCACACTTGCTAATGAGACCAGTCAGAATTGCAAATGCCCCGGGGATTTAAATTTTCCCCGCGGCATTTTCATGAACATGGCTGCCGCTTTTTCCGGCTCGGGGCTTTGCCGGAGAAAAGCACCTGTCTAGACAGGTATCTTTCGGAAAATAAACCCTTTTCCGGAAGATCCCTTATTCCTGATTTTAAGTAGGAATAAGGGATCTTCCGGAAAAGGCTTTATTTTCTGAAATATACCTGTCTAGACAGGCACTTTTCTCCGGCAAAGCCCCGAGCCGGAAAAAGCGGCAGCCATGTTCATGAAAATGCCGCGGGGAAAATTTAAATCCCCGGGGCATTTGCAATTCTGACTGGTCTCATTAGCATCCCTTTTCCGGAAAATGGTGCCAATGTAGACACAGCCATATAGTATTGGTATAGTTATTCCAGCAATGTCTTCCATATATATCCATATGGAACAATCTGCCTTCCCGGGAGAATCTGAAGGTTAAATGCAAAAAAGACTTATTAATCCATACTCTTAAGAGAGTGGATTAAATAAGCATTAAATAGTTTTAAAACTTATGAAGATTTTACTTTTCACTCAGAGAATTTCCTTTGCATGCAAAGAGTGAACTTAAACTACCACCTATTTCTTCCTCTGCAGGTCTTCTATTTAGAATGGGGGTTGCTATGCAGGAATGGGTTCTAGTCTCTGCAAAAACTGTATGCCTTGGGAGAAAGGCACAGCCAGTGGACTTTGCCTAGATATTTCTACACTTGAGCTGGGAGGTGTAGTTCCCTGCTCCCTCAGATGTACCTGAACTAGCATGTTAATATTAGCATTGTAGCTAGGGAGTGGCTCAGCCTGGCTACCAGAACATGAACCCAGGAGTCCAGGTGGCTGCATACACCTGTGTTGAGTTATTGCCTGTATTTTCCTGGCTACACTGCTATTTTTAGAATGCTAGTTCAAGAGGAGTTAGCATGATACATCTATGCCCAAACATAGCACATATGTAGATGTACCTCTGGAGCATGAGTACTCTGCCTTTCACGAGATGTCATTTTTGGGAGCCTCCCACAGCCTCCCATAGGTTGAGATGACAACTGAAGTCACTTACAAATCTAGGAGCCTACAAAGCGGCATTGAATGTTCCTAGCAGGTTTACAAGGACAAATGTATTGTCTCTGTAAATGTGTCTCACTAGAAGGTTTACCCAGCATTGCTTGGGTCCTTAACTCAATTTTTGTTTTTCTTCATTTAAATCATTGCTCTGGGGTGGCACTAGGGATGAGGGGTTCAGTGTGCAGGCTGGCCTAGGAGGAGAGGACTACCTCAGCCCTCTTTAACCACAGCAGCTTTGGGCCAGGTGAAAAGCATCTCTCCACAGCTGCTGTAGCTCCAGCAAGCGCAGCTGGGGGAGGGGTGCCTGTGCCATGGCTGGGGCAAGTCCACGTTTGCCTGCCCCCTGCACTCCCCAGCCAGAGTGAAGAATGCAGCAAACTATGCACTTGCCCCTCACTCCCTGATGAAGGGGAACAGCCAGCAATGTCCCTGTATGAATTGGGGGGGAGGGGTGGGAAAGGCAGAGCGCTTCAGGGTGGCTCAAGGCTAGGGCAGTTCAGGACTGGCAGGAGACACCCCCAATCAATCCCTTTCACCTGCCTGGTAAATCTGCCTCTCTTCTGTATGGTTTTATGCATCCCCATATGAATGGCACATCTTTACATTTAGCTTATTAAAAATGCACATTATTTATTTGAGCACAGTTGACCAAGTAATCCAAAACTCCCTGCATCAGCTACCTATTCCCTTCATTATTTACCACTTACCCATTTTTTGCATCAGCTGCAAACTTTCTCATTAATAATTTTACGTTCTCTTTCAGGTCATTGATAGAACTGTTAAATAACATAGGATCAAAAACTGATCCCTATGGAACCCCTCTAGAAATACCCACTTGAAAATGATTCTCCGATTAGTTTCATTTTGAGACCTTAAAAAACAACAAATAGTCTGGTAGCACTTTATAGACTAACAAAACATGTAGATGGTATCATGGGCTTTCGTGGGCACAGCCCACTTCTTCACATGACCAGACTGTCAGTCAGTTTTAATCTATTTAATGTGTGCCATGTTAATTTTGTATCAGTATAGTTTCTTAATCAAAATGACAAGCAGCACCAACTCAAATAATTTACATAAGTCTAAATATATTACTCTTATCACACCAAACTTACAATCTCAGCAAAAAAGGTATCCAGCTAGACAGGATCTATTTTCCATGAAGCCATGTAGGTTGGCATTCATTACATTATCCTCCTTTAATTCTTTATGAATCAAGTCCTGTCTCACCCATTCTATCACTGTGTTCAGGACTGATGTCAGGTTGAAAGGCCTATAATTACTTGGGTGTCCCATTTACCTTTTTAAAGCATTGTCACATTAGCTTTCTTCCAGTTGTCTGCGTGTGTCTTTAAACTGTAAGCCATTCAGGGCACTAAATGTATCTCTCTGTGTTGGAAAACCTAGCACAATGGGGTGGCCACCCCAAATGGGGCCTTTGGGGACTATTACTCATTTATATCTACAGCTAAACAAAATTATTCCTACTAAGACCTTTTGAAAGGAGCTGGGAGAGGGGCTTCTAGCTGGCTAGGTGCAGGAGACATTGGAAGGCTGGGAAAAATACACCAGAGCTTTCCTTCCTCCTCTTAGAGCAAGGAAAAATATCCGCCCTGCAGGAAACTCACGCTCTAAACGTTTATAAGCCCTTAGGAGCAGGATCTGTCACTAGTTATGTATCTGTACAGACCCCAGCACCATGAGCGCATGGTGCATCCAGAATAATTACAATTGTTTCCTTCCTATCTGCCATTTTGAAGGGCTATAGCAGCATAAGCCTTCTGTGATGCTCTCTCACATCTAGGCCTCCTGGTAGGAGCCGGATTTCCTAAAAAGCACTGAAATCTTTCCCTGGGTTGGGAGGTGATTCTGCCAGCTGAGGCCAGAATACTGAAGCAGCTCCTTTGGCAGAGACTAGATCTGTGGGAGCAACACTTCAAAAGCAGTGAAAAGCCTCATGTGTGTCCAGCACTATTTTTCCCCCATTTGGGGAAAGGATGGTCAGTCTTATTCCACTAAGTCCCTTACCGATGAGCTGAGGGCTGACATGTAGTCAGTGATGGCAGATGGGGGTGAGGAGAAGGAACAAAGCACAAAAAGGGGGGGGGGTCAGGAACCCCTTAGTGAGACCTAGGTAGGAGAGCAAAGCTCTTTGAGCCAAACCCTTTGTGTCAAGGAGCTGTCTCCACTGCAAAAAGAGACAGAATATAGGAAGTACTTTAGTTCCCATATACTGAAAGCCCTAGTTCCAGAAGTTCCTGGCAGAGATGCCTCTGAACTGTTGCAGGATGGGTAGCTCATTTATTCTGAGTCTCCTCCAGGATGACAGATTCTCAATAGGAGATTAGCCCAGTCTCTCCACCATTATAAACAAAATGTCTTTTACATAATCGTGTGTTCTGAGGCTGGAGGAGTAAGCATCCCCAGAGACAGTTCCATCTCAATAACCATTTCAAAGAACTATGCTACAATCGTCTTTGAAAGTGCTTCCACTTTCCTTTGTGTGACGCTGTATGTTGGATGAATGCCTCTGTGCCAATAGCATTAAGCGGTGTGAGAGCTGCAATTGGAAATGTAATCACAGTGACAGATGCACAGATAATAAATCATCACATTGATACTCTCCACAACTAAAGTGTCATGTATCAGCATTTGAAAAGTGAATTGTAGTATTAAACTGTTATGCAAGTTGCAAGTATTATTATTAGGATAATATAGTAGACACTACAGGTGAGACCCTCCCTGGTCCAGCACCCTAGAGACCTGAGCGGTCCTGAATGACAGTTTTCTCCAGACTAAGGAAGGTTCACCTTGTTCACTGCTGCAGGCCTGCTGCCCCAGCCCTGCTAGGGCTATGCTTCCCACCCAGGGCTCAGCAAACACTAAAAAAAGGTTTGTTTTTCCCTCTTAGTAACTGTTTACAGAATCTAGAAATGGCAGGTTGAATAATTTGGTGATACCAACTCTATATCCACTTCCACAGTATAAGGGTTCATATAAAAACCACACCTCTCACTAAGAATCGCATTAAGATGTTGTCTCTTTACCTGTGCATCCAGTTCCATTATGTGAGCTACTTTGTTCCAGCCGAACCCTACAAACCTTCTGTCGTACTCAGGGCAGTCCCGCCTCACAACAACATATGGCTCAAAGTCCGCTTCCCACTCAACTTGATAAGGTGTTGTGGCAGTCCGCCACTTGGCAAAGTTCGTTGGTGCATGCCCTTTCGTCCAGACATGATACCTTGAATAGACATACAGAGCATGGGAGTGGGAGAAAAGTGAAATGAGACACATCTTGGCAAACATATGCAACTGTACCTTTCGGTGGAACCCTTGAATATGAGGACATTAGCTGTTCAGTCCATTATTATTTTCAGGATGTATTATAGGCAACTCAATACACTCTGACCATTTTTGAAGCATTTTCCAATACTTTCATGTGCTCTGTATGCTTATACCTACCAGGCCGATGAGGTTAATTGACAAAAACACAATTATCAAAAGGACTATCCCAGGACTGGGAAGCAATAATTATGGAAAAAACAAAGGATGCTTCTATACTAAAACTGCACATCCACTTCACAGCAGCAATGCTGGAAATTTGGAATGAAATTGTGTAGCTCATTTAAAGCTTCTGAATGTTAGCTATTACAGTTCCAAAGTGATGAACGTGATACATTTTATTTTTACATTTTTAAGTTGTGGGAGGGATAGCTGGAGCTCTGGACAAGTGCCTCTTTTTATTATTATTACTGTAGAAACCCAAATAAGTAATGACATTAATAAGCAAAAGCCTTGATCAATGTTATCCATGATACTACAGAGATAATTTTATCCAACACAATTCCATTTATAAGAAAGGATTATTCTATATTTTGTTAATATTATTTATGCCATGGCGGGTCTTTTCCAAGCACAGCTTGAATATACCCCATTAAGAGAAGGATCAACGATTCTCTTGCCCTTTTACAATTCTTACACCTTTTTCAGAAATCACGGAGATAGGCTCATGCTGAAGACTCATGGATTAAATCAAGAAAAACAAGCATAAGGCAGGTGATCTGTATTGTCGTATTTTGAGATTTATAACAGCTGTGCAATAAGACACCTTGACTTCAAGGGGACAGACAACTTGTGCATAAAGTGAAGCATATGTATAACCATTTGCAGGTTTAGAGCCTAGATCCTAATATTTGGTCTCAGAAGCTCTGATAACATTACAAACCATGAAGAACCAGGAACACAAAGGTAAAAATTACAGCCTAAGAGTTTACATTTGGTGCATATCTTATTGTATGTAATACCTGGAGAAACTGAAAGAAGCTAATGTTTACTTTCTCTCTTTATCCTAGAGTAGATCAGTGCAGGAGGGACATGGCTACCAGGAAATTATTTTACTATACAGCAACTAGTGTTCTTTTAAACTGTAAAGGTTTCACTTTTATATATTTATTATCATAAACAAGTGGTTTCACTTCAAGCAGACTGGCTAACCAGCAGCACAGAGCCATTCAACTCTAAGTCACTGGTTTGACTTCCAGGTAGCCAGAGATCAAAAGCCTTTGCCATGTACTGAGGCTGTGTCTAGACTACACCTCTCTGTCAACAGAGAGATATAGATTAGGCATGTCGAAATTGATAATGAAGCAGGGATTTAACTATCCCGCGCCTCATTAGCATAAACGTGGCTGCTGCTTTTTTTTCCGAAACGGAGTTTTGAATAAAAAACGGCAGTCTAGACACGGATCTGTCGAAAATAAACCCTTTTTCGACAGATCCTGTAAACCTCATTTATTTAGGAATACAGGCTCTGTCGAAAAAGGGTTTATTATTGACAGATCCGTGTCTAGACTGCTTTTTTTTCGAAAAAGCTCCGTTTAGGAAAAAAGCAGCGGCCATGTTTATGCTAATGAAGCACAGGATATTTAAATCCCTGCTTCATTAGGAATTTCGACATGCTTGATTTACATCCCTCTGTCAACAGAGGGATGCAGTCTAGACGTAGCCTGAGAGAGGTGAGGTAAATATCTTTTATTGGATTAATTTCTCTAGATGGAAGGTACAATATTTTGAACTTCACAGAGTTCTTCTTCAGGTCTGGGCAAAAGCTTGCACATTCCTTCAACAGAGGTTGGTCAAACAAAAGATATTTCCTCACCTACCTTCTCGTTCTCATGTCCTGACACTGACACAGTCTCATCGTTTATTGGCCGTTGGATGTTTTTAGGAAATAAGTTGGTAGTCTCAACCCAGGCCCTAGCGAAATCAACAACACTCACAATAGGGTTTTGAAATCCAATGTAGGATTGTGGGGAATGCGTCATTTTCCTTTATCCCTCCTGCAGCATTTTGAAATTAATAAACAACAACAATACTTACTACTTAACACTTATGGTGATTAATATCTTCAAAGCACCCCACAAACGACAGCTAATTAACGGATTCCTGCAGAGAATCAGGCTAGCGTTGCTGCTCCCGCTCATAATGCTTCCCCAGAGGCAACAGCAGGAGCAGAACATGAAACTGACCTGAATTATATCACTTTCCCTCTACAGCTATTGCTGGTAGCCTCACCAACATAGTAGGGTAGGCAGGAGTAGCACCAGAGGTATCCCCTGGAAGGGAGAAGGACTGAAGAGAAATCCAAAAGGGAAGAGAAAAAGAGGATAAATGAGAGGAATAGAAAAAAAAAAGATCAGGAAAAGGAGATGGGGGAGACAGGCAAAACAGAAGATAGTGGGGGGAAAGGTGATGAGAAGGTGAGTGAATTGAAGACAAGCAGAGACTTTGATTAAAGAAGGGAGGAGCTACATGCTCCCTGTGGAATCAGTGTATTTCTTTTTTTGGGGGGGGAAGTCCAAACCTGTGGGTGAGAGGGTAGGTCATTCTCAAAGTCTATTTAATTCTTGGCATTTCTGCCTCTGTGGCTGACTATAAGATGCTGGTCAATGCAGCAGTGATGGTGGTTCTGTAATGTGGCCACCAGTCCACGAGCAAATAAATAGAGACCAACCAATCATTTTGCAGAGAAAATTCAGCTTCTTTAAATGCACCTGAAATTCCATCCTCAATGACAGTATTTTCCTCAAAGTAAAAGGATCTATAAACAGATCAAGGATTTTTCATTTGCCTCTTCAAAATGGCTTAGTTCTATATGATGGGATCACATGGAGAAACCACACATACTGGTAGCTAAGAGTTTATAGCTAGATAATAATCATATCATTGTGCTTTCTGAATGAGGGGAAATATCTAGTTACTGAGTGGATAAACTCTGGGATCAGATACCATATTGGCTGGGAACACAATAATAACAACTGTAGTTGCTATATGAAGTGGGTATATTGTGTCTTATAGCAGAAATGTCTGCTAAGGGAAAAGAAAAAGGGAGGTGGATGCGGGATGCTGAAATAAGGTCACTATAGACTGATTATGAAAGAATAATTGGGTTGTAGCCATCTTTCTGATAGTTCAGGAATATATACATGCTAGAACTGGGTCTTGGCTACACATTGATTATCCTGTGAAATTTTAGCTCTGCTGAAATTATTTAAAAAGATCTTCATACAAAAGAAACTCCCATAAAATCGTGGTTTCCACCAGACATTAGCCACAGAGACATAGCAGTGAGATTTGCCAGTCTTTAGTATTGTCTCATCGGCATGTCAACCAGCATCCCTGACTTTCTCATTCTGGTCCTTCTCCCCCAATATGTGCTTAACTTGAAACTCATATGAGCAGTCTTATTGGCTTCAATGGGGATACTGATGTGGGTATGGGCTCGATCAGTTTATCAATCATTGCTGGTTACACAGTCTCAGTAGGGTGCTTTCTTTTGCCTTCTGTACCTTCGTTATCCTTGTAAGATTCCACCAGGAGCATAGTTCCTCACCCTGAGGACATTACCCAGTACTAAGTGGATCCATCTTGTCATGGCACAATAAAAACTAACACTATGAAACAAAGCCAGAATGATTTCACAAGGTATTCCTCTGCTGCACAGGTTTTTTGCACAGCACCTCTTAGCAACCCTGAAAGCTTAGATGACTTTTTTGTGTGTGTGGAAGGAGGGGGGGATAGTTGTAGGAAGGATGTAATTGAGAGCTGCTTTGTATTTCTCGGCAACCCAGAGGCAGAAAAGGTCACCATTTGGAAAAGAGGTGACAAAAGCAATTTCACTGAGGGAAAGATTGTAATCTATCATGGGGCGTGGGGATCTGGGATGCTGCAGGCATGATCAGCAATCACTGTCATAGCAGCACTCCTCCCAGTTCACTCCCACCAGCTTGGCTGCAACTTGCAGCCTTATTAAAAGCACCTTGAAAACATAGTGGAAATGCTCAGCCCCGATCCCAACTGCTACAAGCCTATTGATAGATCGGACCACTATGATGACACCGAGACGATTAGGAGAGTGTTTATAGAATCTGTCCTACATAAGTAGACAAATCTACTACAGGCCTGATGTCTTTCCTCTGTTCTTATTCAGTCCTTTCTCAGATCAAATTCCCAATGAAGTCACAGATAGCTTAGAAAGGATTTCAGGCTTTGACAGTATGCATGCAACATACAGTATAGCTGGAAGAGGAGGTCTAAAGCAGGAAAACGACAGCAGTAGAGTTAGAAAACATAGCTGTCAATGAAATATAAGATCTGAAGTAAAATCTTGAGGGGATTTTTTTCCACTCAAGGTTATTTTTTCACCTAAGAAGGAAAGCTATTTTCTATAAACAAACCTCAAGCTAATCTATCAATAGTTGCGTGATTAAGAAACTGTGGAAGAGAGCAAACTCTACCGATACTCTTGAGGTTTTTTTTCTCCAGGGACTGATATAGCACCTCTATTCTTTCTCCTACCTCTCAGTTGCTGTGGGTTTCCTATTTCCAAGTGAATCACAGGCAGTGGCATCATCAAAACAATGTTCTTTGGGATCATACAAACCACCTGCTGTGATGTCTGTAGAAAGTAGCTTGCAAAAAAGTTGCTAGTGCACTTCATGTTGCAGCTTAGCAACATGAAAGAAATCCACTGCAAGTAGTTAATACAGATAATGGGGGAAGAGAGGTGTCACAGGGCACTCCATATTTTATGAAAATTGGCTTATGGATATAAATATGCATAATTCAAGATGCTTTACACAAAACAGATTATAAATATATCTATTTTACAGTTGCAATCTGCTGAATCTGTATATCCTATTTTTGTGCATGTATCATTCATGTATGTGAAGTTAGAAATATGAAATGTGGATCTGTTTATAGTTCTATATGTGCTAATGAGAAGCCATTAGTGATACCCCTGATCTTAATGAACTCGGTACTCAAACCAACAACCCGTGAACAGTCTTGTTTGTCCTATCAGCTCAAACTATGGTTGGTCCTAACATATGACAATGCCACCTGTCCTCAGAGTTGTGCCCCTGCAGAGCATCACAGACACGTGGAATCTATCTTGGATGTGGTATTTTTCCATGGGGATAGGAGGTGCTGAACAAAAGGTTCCTGCTCAGGGAGAAAGTCTATTTAAGCAATGGGAAGCCATCAATCCTTTGTCTTCAGCTATTGTTTAGGGTAAGAATTTTCATGTAACAAGTTTCTTAGGGTATGTCTACACTTGCACCCTAGTTCGAACTAGGGATACAAATGCAGGCATTCGAAATAGTCAATGAAGCGGGGATTTAAATATCCCACACTTCATTAGCATGATCTTGCCGGTGCGCTGGGACGCGTTACCAAACCCCTTGGCTCAAACTAACGTTACTCCAAATGAAGAGTAAATTAGAACTAGACATGCAGGGTTTTTTGTTCATTTTACTTTAGTAACTTACAACGATCTGACTGTTTTCACTTGTAACTACTTAAATCCTGCTCTTTATACTTATAACAACATTTTTGTTTATTATCATGCCCAGTGTAAATAACTGATGTGTGTATGGGGGAGGGGGGGAAGCAACCACTGTGCTTATCTCTCACTGATAAAATGGAAAAATAGGTGTATGTTATGAACTTTCTCTGTGTAAAATTTGTATACAGATTAAGATGGATTTATTTGGGGGTTTGGTTCCTTTTGGAGGTTGGTTTTCTGGATGCTGAGCCCTTATTAGCTAAGCTCTCCCGAAGCTGAAATGGGTCAGGGTCTGTGATGCTCTGCAGGGGCACAACTCTGAGGTCAGGGTGGTGGGGAGCCCCAGAGAGCAGGAAGACGGGTGTCAGTGGCATGATCAGCACACCAGAGGTAACTCCAAGGGGACTTCTGTGATTCGACCCATCACAAGCGGCATCTTCCACAAAAAGCAATTTGTGAGAAGTGGAAAAGAAAGGGGACTGGAGAGAAAAAGTTCTATTGAATAATAAATAATACCACCTGTCGCTTGTATAGTTGTTTACATCTATTGCTTTCATAGCATTTCAACACAGGAGAGGTAAGCATTATTATCCCCATTTTACTGATGTGAAACTGAGACACACAGAGAGGTGAAGTGGTTTGCCAAAGGTCATCTAGCAAGTCAGAGCTGGGAATAGAATCAATATCTCCTGAGGCCTGGTCAGTGCTCTATGCAGTAGGATAAACAGCACACCCTATAGCTTTTGTGGCACTTTCAAAATATCTACTAATCAATCCTAGGTAAGTGTTATTCTTACTTTACAGATAAGGGGACAGAATCAGAAAAGGGAAGTGACATGTGCAAACCCATAGAGGGAGTTTGTTTCAAAGATGAGTTTAGATCTCAGATGTTCGTGCCTCCTAGTCTTGTATTCAGACACACAAACCCACAGGCTGCGTGTAGACTGGCATCATTTTCCGGAAATGCTTTTAACGGAAAAGTTTTCTGTTAAAAGCATTTTCGGAACAGAGCGTCTAGATTGGCAGGATGCTTTTCCGCAAAAGCACTTTTTGCGGAAAAGCATCCGTGCCAATCTAGACGCGCTTTTCCGCAAAAAAGTCCCGATCGCCATATTCGCGATCGGGGCTTTCTTGCGGAAAACAAATCTGAGCTGTCTACACTGGCCCTTTTGCACAAAAGCTTTGAGCAAAAGGGACTTTTGCCTGAACGGGAGCAGAATAGTATTTCCGCAAGAAGCACTGATTTCTTACCGTAGGAAGTCAGTGCTTTTGCGGAAATTCAAGTGGCCAGTGTAGACAGCTGGCAAGTTTTTCCGGAAAAGTGGCTGATTTTCCGGAAAAGCTGGCCAGTCTAGACACAGCCACAATGTTTCCCCCTTGCATTGAGAAACATCATTCATTTGTCTAGCTGCTTAGCAGCTTATTCGAGACCCATGGCCATTCTAATCAGCCTTTTTAAAAAATTGACTGTCAATTTTGGAGTCAGCTAGTGAATAGCAGAAAACTATTTTTGATCACATGAATGAATTACCTGGACTGTGCATAGCCAACAAAGGGTATATTACACAGACACACACACACTAGTTTCATACTTTTGATTTTGTAATGCAATAAAAATACCAAAAATAAAATGAGGCTAATTTAACAATAGGAGGTTAGACAAGTGGAAAGGGCATGAAAATATTAGTAGCTAGCATGTATGGTTTACAGATGAAATACATTCACCAATCATGCTGTTAGGACACTGGATCATTGCCTTTTAATAAAGTGGTGAAAAACCGCAATCCATTCCTTAAGTGACTGGTCAAGAGAGAGGTGAGCCACACCCACCCACAGGTGAGCAAGAAGCCAAGGTTGATCATTGCCAGAGGTGCAGTGAATGCTCTTCCTGTTACCTGAAAGTGAAGAGGGTTCCCATGTCCAACATAGATAATAGCTCTGCTTTTGACTTGGGGAAGGACAGGCGGTATCGAAGGGTCTCAAAAGCAGGAACAATCAGAGCTTTCTTGGTATGGTCCAAGTCGAGCTGCATGACAGACTTCCTGGGAGAGAAGAGCAATGAATACAAAGGGGAGAATATTAGCTTGGGCAACTCACAGGGCGTTTCATAGTAAAGAACAAAGAGATGGCAGTTCAAGTGGTGCGTTCTACCATGGCACAGCTTTTTCTTGGTGTTGAGTAGTTTTCCTTATCTCATTTAATCGGTTGTTGTAGGAAAAAAAATAAGCAATACATTGCTATGCAAGTTTATAAATTTGCGGTGTATTTGGCTGATCAATGCTAGCTGATTGCCCAATGACATAGATTTGTCCAAATAAATTTTGAGTAGATCCAACGGCTTGACCCTCAGCTGAGGAAAGGTCAAACTCCTTGAGCCATCCTATTTGTTATTACAGATTATCGAATAACCTAACCAAGGAATGGCAGTTCTGAAATGACACATTTTTGCCAGGACAGTTTGGAAATTTGTGTGGGATGACTAGTTACATTTCAACATAATTAGTTTCTGTGTTCCAAACTCTCTTTCACATTTACACTGATAAAACCCAGGAATTTAGGAAGGAGAGGTAACTAATCAGCCAGCATTTGAATGAAAGCTAGGGGGAGTTCAACAACAAAAGCAATGCTTTAAGTCCATCTGCATACTGTTCCCATGAAAGATCAACTGCTCCATTCAGACAGGGTATATGCCTGAGAGAAGCACAGGGTAGTAGAGTCTGGATGAGAGTTTAGACTCTTGTTTGAAAAATATTTAACTTTTGAAAGTGCTTTGTTATGGTAATTTCCATCTCCTGGTTTGAATTTTGTCCCCAACTTCAAAGAGAGACAGTCACTGCTCAAACCCTACTGTGTACTTGTGTGCGGTTGCCTCAACGGGCCCAATGAACTGTTACTTAAGCCTTGTTTTTAACTCTTGTTTAGACCTCACACAGCACAGACTGGGAGCTGGTGCCAATCCAAACATATTTCAACAGTACATACCTACCCTCAAAAATACCATCTGGCACAACTGTTAGTCTCTGCTGAAGGGGAGGCCCATGTCTGGAGTAACAAGCTCAGAAGCAGGTGTGCTGTCAGAGACTACACATGAAGACTGAGGTAAATCAGCAGAACTGTGCATTATTATGATTATTTGTACATAGATCCTCAGACCATTGTGCTAGGCACCCTTCACAAATATAGTACAGAGGCAATTCTTGTGCAGAAGGGCTTTGTGCATGGTGCATCCCTTTGGCCCACCCTTTGTCTGTATGCCTATTTTGACTGGTGAAAAACCTCACAGCACTTACCCCAATGGGGCCTTCTTCCTGGGGACTTCCGATACTGCTGACATACACATAATTTTAACAACACTATTAATAACAACAATAATAGAGTCATCTGGTATAACACCTGCTTGCACTGTCCACAGCCCTAGCCAGAGCTCTTGGGGCTTCACTTTCCTAAGTAACTTAAAAAAATAAAAAGTTACTGCCACTCTAAACTGAATCTTACTCTACTTGTCAGTAGAAATAACTCTGCCTTAACTTCATTATTTTTGCATTTCTTATGAAACACCTTCCTCTCTCCCATGTCATACTCAGTTCCCCTTAATAGGATTTACTGAACTTACTTGTACAGTACTGCAATGAGCAGCCAAGGACAATGTTGACACGCGACAAACTATCTACCGCCTTTGAGATGAAGGAACTGGGAATGCTGTCACATCAAAAGGGAATCAACTCACTGGGGCCAGAATTCCAAGAATTCATTCCCATTGCATAAAACGAGGAGGAAGAGAAGGAGGAGGAAAAGATTATTTAATAAAATTTGAGTTTTAGGAAATTTGTATTAATTTTGCATCATAGGATTCCTTGTAGGTTTGTTCTATAAAAACAATGTGTTCTCAGTCAGCTATCTGAACATTTGCACTGTTTAGAGACACGGCACATTCTAACAAATTTCACACTAACTGAAAGACCCATTAAAACGTTCCTCTACTTTTTCTTCTGTTTCCTTCCCCTCACTGCTAATGATCTGCATGTAGATGACTCCTTTAAACAGAACCTCCTCAACCTGCCAGAATCACTGAGTGATGCCAAAATCCAGTGTTTTATGACACTCCTAATGATTCTTCCTTCTGCTTTAACTTGCTGTTTCTTTTAGCTATTCTCAGTATGGAAATCATACTAATTTAGTCTCACTGACAATTTTAGGACTCCCTAGTCTTGGTTCATCCCCTTGGCTTAGAGACGTACGAACTGCACTACCCTGATTCAGCAGCCCAGGCTGCTACAGCACACAGGGTTTCATCCCTGGGGAAGGGCAGGTAGCGTTTGCACTGATGTCCTACCTTAGGTGTTTTGCCAGAGATGGCAGCTTTATATTGTGGTTGTTGATATACTGACAATTTTAGGACTCCCTAGTCTTGGTTCATCCCCTTGGCTTAGAGACGTACGAACTGCACTACCCTGATTCAGCAGCCCAGGCTGCTACAGCACACAGGGTTTCATCCCTGGGGAAGGGCAGGTAGCGTTTGCACTGATGTCCTACCTTAGGTGTTTTGCCAGAGATGGCAGCTTTATATTGTGGTTGTTGATAT